GAACACAGGCTCGCATTCAGACCCAGGATGGTGCTGGGGGGGGGCGTGGGGGCGGGGTGGAGAAAAGTGAACCAAATGTACCTCTGATTGTTGCGCCACCAACTTAATACCTGGGCAGAAAGACAAAGGCTCTTTAGAAAAAGCTCAGGCTTCGGGTGACCCCTCCCCCAACCTCCAGGAGTTCAAAAGATAACAGGAGTTGAAAATAAGGCGGTAAGGTAATTAAAGTCTTCCAAGTCATCTCAGGAGATATTACACCCGATGACAGAGAACCTATCGCTAAGCCCTTTTGATGAGCAACCTCTGCTACCACTTGGAGAGAGACTTCTCTTTGCGCCTGGGTGCCCGTGTGCGCAGGCATGTGCCCAGGTACACCCAGGCCTCCATTTCTGGATAAAATGATCCATCATCAGAACCCTGGCACTTTGTCTTTAAGCAGAGATACAACCACAGCTTGGATGAGGGGAGAAGCTACAAAACAAGGAAGTTCCATGTGAACTCAGGAGTGAGTTCTGATGGTAAAGAAGCAGGGATTCATGGAATCTCCACACCCTGGGAGGCAACTGGGGAATGGCTCTTCTACATGGAGCAGGTCCATTCAAAGCAAACCTCACGACAACATCTCATGGTCCTTATTCTATGGTTCTAAGCCAGGGCTCTTTGTGAAGGGTAGAACTCTTGCCTAGGAGACCGGGATCCAGGCCTCGGAGGTGGCTGGGAAACCAGAACAGGATACGTGCACACTTTGCCCAACGGGACTGGTGCCATCCCATAAATAGAAAACACTTAAGAAAACCCCCAAGTCACTGCATAAATTGTTTGTTTTTCAAGAAGGCTGTAAGCTCCATGAGACAGGGATGAGCCCACCAAATCCTTAGCATCCAGAACATATAAATATTCAAAAACTCTCTTTGAATGTTGAAAAAGTCCAGATCCTAGAGAAAAACAAACAGGCCAGAGTAGGCTAGAGAAGGCTGTACCCGCTCACAGGAGCAGGCTGGGAAATTCACCAGAGGTTTGCAAGCCAATTGTTAAACACAGCCACTATAAAAAGTTAAAGCCCATAAACTTGAAATTAAATACATTATGTTGGAAAAAAAAAAAGGTAATAAACTCATCACTGCCTCTTCTTTTTAGTGTTGTCCTAATATGCTCATGAAGTTATCTACATCTATAGAGCTTCTATACTGTGCAAGGTTGGCTACTTTGTATCTCTCCCCCACACACACACTGCAGTTCAATGTTGTCTCATTTTAGCTTAACATGTGCAGTGTCCGGAACACCATGAAACCAAGGGAAAACCCATGCTGCACATTATGGTTTAATTGATGGTTTTGAACCATCTAGACTTAGGATGAAGAAAATAGCAATGTAGATTAAACACCACTATTTCATATCTAGGGTTTTTATAATATGACTAGCAGAATAAAGAAAAACCAGGTAAAAAAAAAAAAAATCTTCTTCTAGTCTTCATAGGCTATGCCCTGATTGAGAGCCTGTATCACTGGCTACGGAGTGAAGTTTCAACATCTTCACTTTCTTCCTGATTTCTTAACAAAAATGAAAATATCAGATTTCCCTTGGAACTGTACTCTTTTGTCTACTGCAAAGTGAGAGCCAGCAGAATGATTTTGTGAGACTCATTCGCCATATAGGATAAACAATGAAGAATGTTGCATATTTTATAATTATTTGCAAGTTGGGTGCTGTAAGTACTTTATCACAATAAAATTTGTAACAAACTTATGAATGTATAAATGTGAACTTTTCTCAAAGACCTGGTGATTAAGCATTTACCAGCAGGTCACTCTCCAACAACACAGCTGTGTGTAAGAAAAGGGGGTAAGTTTAATGACACAGAGAATCTATGTGTTTACATGTGTTGGGGGGCGGGGAAGGTGTATCAGTTCCTTGCTTGACTTTGGCCTAATGGAGGCAGAGTGCAAAATCAGAGAACTATTGGTAGAAAAATAGTGCAATATATGAACATTCCTCCTACCTGCCCTGATGTCCCATCAGGGCAGCCAGAACAAGACTCACCCAAGGACGGCAAAGGAGGGGAGAGCTGCCCCTTCAGTGGTTCACACATCTGGATGGTGTTTCCCAGCTTTCAAAAGGACTTTGCACAAGTGATATCACGTGAGCCTCATCAAGGACTAGTGAAAACAGCAAGGCAGAGAATCTTCCCACCTTGGGGACGGGGTGGGAGGGTTCAGAAGGCTTCGGTAGTTTGCCCAAAGCCGCACAACTGAGGAAAGCTAAGAACAGAATAGAATGCAGGTCTGATGATACTTAGCCCAGTGTTTCCCAACGGAAGGTCAAATTACTTCCTTAAGAGCAGATTTTCTGGAATGTTCCATCCTTAGACTTGAGTTTAAGTAAGCAAGGAGTCAGTTCAAGGGCAAGAGAAGGGAATCTGCGAGCCGTGTTCCTAAGTAGCTGGATCTCCTTGCACGGGGGACCTTGAATGTGGAGTCCAGATTCAGTCTATCCATTGCTGGCTGGCAGCCTCTGCACCCGGGTCAGGAGCCTTCTGACCACAGGAATCAAAGTAAGATCCCCAACTCCACTGATTACAGAGCTGGCTCTCATCCTTGTTCTTGTTGCTGTTTTTAGAATAGCAGAACCCTTTCTATTTTTTTTTAAGCAAAAATTCTATATGAAGCAGCAAAATACAATTCAGAGCAAAAGCAAAGTTTCCGTGGTTAAATGGCTCTAATATGAGGGACGGGGGGGTGGGGGACAGGGATGGTTAGTATTGATTAATGCTCATAGAGACCTTTAGGAGCAACCAAATACCAATCCCCCCACCCCCAGTCTCCTTGAGGCCCTTAAAGGAAAACCTCGATTACTGTGTGTTTGTATGGTGTGTTTGTGTGTATGTTTTGTGGGTGTGTCTGCATGTATGTGTTTGCCTGTGTGTGTGTCTGCTGTACTGTGTGTCTGCTCCTGAAGCCTGGATGATGTCTTGGAATCTCCCGCCACTGATCACCAAAGAGCAAAAGGAAGGAGCAGAGGCTCCTTAGCAGAACTCAGCAGAAAAAAAAAAAATGAAGTTGGAAGCATGCCTCCAACCACAGGAGAGCGAGCAGGTGGATCTGACAGAGATGCTCAGAGTGCTTCTTCTCTAAGGAGCAGGCAGGGCTGGGGAGTGGCTAAGTGGTAGAGCACATGCTCAGCATGCTCAAGGCCCTGGATTCCACCCCTGGGTGGGAGTAGGCAGTGCTCTCCGCACTTGGAGTTGTGACCACATCCACGGCTTCCCCAGATCCCTCTGCTGCTGTTCTTGCCATCTTGCCTCTGTAGACAGGCAGGTAGGTGTAGATGTCAGAAAGCATCCTCAGGCTCTGTGGGTGGTAAAGCTGAGGTCTGGACTGGCCTCCTGAAGCACCAACTTGTGCAATCACCCAGGTGTGTACTAAGCTTCCACACTTGGGGGTTAATTCTTAGTGGTGCACTTTTAAAATTCTTCAGCATCTTATCTTTGAGTTCATGTCTTGTAAAAGTCAGGTACGGTATGTGAGAGGGTTCAGGGCCTCTGCTCGAGAGTGGTTCTGCCTCCCACCACCTCCTTGCCTTTCAAGGGAGGGTTCCCAGCCACCTGCTGCCAAACCCCAGCATCCTGGACTGCCGGTCCTCTCCTTCCCCACCTTCCTGTGACCACTGCTATCCTCCACCTAGGGCAGCATCCTGGTCCTGGTGAGGAGGAAAAGCCTGTGTTCTGCCATCACCCCCAGCACCCAGCAGTGGCCTGGACACAGGTACACAGAGACCAGGCCAGAAGGACACCCCACAGGGGTGTGGGGAAGCAGCAATTGTTCTGCCTCTGGGGCAGCCTTTCTTTTACCCCAGTCTAGTTTCCAAGCACATCTTGGAAGGAAGGTTCAACCTTGGGGGTCTCCAGTCCTCCTGTGATTGGTCTATGGTGTGCAAGCTCCTGGTTGGGACCTGGCATTTCCTTTTGGTGGTGGGTCCCATAAATTACATAACTGACCCTAGCTGGGATACAAACCCTGCTCCAGCAATCTGGAGATAGAGCTATTATTCATCACTGGCAAGACAGCTCCCTCTTGTAGCCAGTAGAGATTTTACGATACCCTTGGCTATGATCTGGGCTTCTTGCTCTAGCTTTGATGGATTTGCCTCTGCCAGAGCCCATTTGACAAGAAGGGAGAGTGCTTGTGGCTGGTTACCCGAGGCACTGGGTTCATCCCATGCTCATCTCACAAAATGAGGGACTATCTATTCTCCCCCCAGGTACATGATGCCCACCTTGTACTCTGTTTGGGTTCTAGTGACCATTACTCCGGGAGCATGAACTAGGGTAAAATTTCCCCCAAAGCATAAAGGACTAGGTTCCTGGGCTTGTGAAACAGCCCATAGCGTTGGCATTTGCTCCAGAATAAGAAAAAGGCCAGGCGAGAAGCCAGAAGTAATTCCTCGAGGAATCCCTTTTCTTCAGAGTCCCAGCTCCTATAACCGGGGAAGATGTTCCAGTATTTTCTTGGGCCCATGA